TTCTCCCCATATTCCTCCCCTAGCATGGTGCCACTAAATCAGGAGGAAACACCCAGCTTCCATCTTCTACCTGGGAAAAACTACAATAAGAGTGAAGCATACATCCCACATTCTGACTTTTCAGCACAATCTGCCCAAGGGGCTGGTTTCTGTCTCACAGGTCTTCTAATGCTAAGGGATTCCTGCAAATTTTAGATGTCTCAGGGCAGCTGAAAGTAATAAAATCTGAGTGGTGTGTTGGTATTCCAGAGGACCTGCAACTCAATAGATAGAAGTTGACACAGTTTAGTAGACTCTCCTTCATAAGAAAATGAGGAGAGTGGAGTAGGTATCCAATGTTCTGGTTTTTCAGTGGGCAGCCTAGATATCTCATTTGAATCAAGGCACTGATAACACAACATATTGTAGATGCCTGGGGACTACTCAGAACAAACAAAAACAAACAAACAAACAAACAAAAGAGGTGAGCAAATACTATGGCTTTAGAGCATTCATGGCATAACAGACAGACACCAAAGTGAACAGAGAATGAGTTACAGACAAAAGAAACCAGTAAATCCCTCTAACTAGGAATTATGTACAAAAATCCAAAGAAGATGTATGCACAGAAGAGGGTTCAGAGAGCCACAGAATTTCTACCAAGACAACTGGTGAACAGAAGTTCAGAAAGACTTGGAAAAGATGACTGTTTTCCAAATAAGGTCATATCAACAGAAGGGAACAGGAAAATATGGCATAATAAAAAGACTTTCAAGAATTTCCAGAATCTAAAGAAATGGAGGGATATGAATTACCTGTCAAAGCATTCAAACTATCATGAAGATGCCAGTGAGCTCCAGAAAATAAAACATAAACAGAAGAGAATTTCAACAGACATAGAATTTTTGAAAACTAAACATGAATTTTAGAGTTGAAAAATACAATAACTGAGTGAGAAAATTCACTAGAGGGATTCAACAGAGGATGTGATCAAAGACAGTAGGTTACCTCATGGATGGGTCATTTGAAATTACTCAGGCAGGGAGCAAGTTTTTTGAGGAAAAAAAAGAGTGAAGAAAACCTAAGGGACTTATGGGACACCAAAAGGGGTCCAATATATGCATTATTTTCATCACACAAAAGGAGAAGAGAGAAAAACAGGCAGAAAACTTGTTTATTTCTAGAAATTATGGGTGACAATTTCCCAATTCAGAGAAGGAAATGAACATTCTTCAAATGGACAGATTCAAGAACCCAACAGCCTTCAGATAGGATGAACCAAAGTAAACTGACACCTGGAAACTAGAATTAAATTGTTGAAAGTCAACAACAAATAGAGGATTTTAAAAGCAGCAAGAGAAAAATAACTAATTATTCAAAAGGGAATACCAAAAAGACTATCAGCAAATTTCTTAACAAAAATCTTGAAGGCTAGAAAAGAGTAAGGTATGTTGAAACTCCTGAAAAAAAACATTGCCAGACAAGAATACTACATTCAGCAAAACTGTCCTTCAAATATTCAAAAATGAAGAAAAGACAAAGGCTATTTCTGATAAACAAAAGCTGAGATTCATCACCACTAGATCTACCTTACAAGAAATGCTAAAAGGAAATTCTTTGAGATAAAATGAAAGGACACTAAACAGTAACATATAAGCATGTTAAAGTATCTCACTAATAAAGGTAAATATATAAACAAATACAGAATACTATAATACTGTAATGGCAATGCATAAATTGCCTTTAAACCTGGTATAGAAATTAAATACAAACATAAAATACATATATACAGAATGTTAATTAGTACATAAGTTTAAAAGAGGTAATTTGGGACATCAATAACAAAGATGGGAAGGGAACATGTAAGAGTGGAATTTTTTGTTTTGCAATTGAAGTTAAGATGTTATCAATCTAAAATAGATCATTATAACTATGTTTTACATAAACCCATAATAACTGCAAAGAAAATACATATAGAACATATGCAGAAGAAAACAAGAATGGAATCAAGATTCATCATTACAAAAAATTAACAAAAGACCAAAGAAGATAACAAAAAGACAAAATAACTCAAGACAGAAAACAATTGACAAAATGACAAACGTAAATTGTTCCTTATCAATAATTTCTTTAAATGTAAATGGATTAAACTCTCCCAATCAAAAGACATAGAATAACTGAATGAGGAATAAGTTCCAAATATATTCTGTCTACAAGAGATTAACTTCAGATTTAAGGACTCAGAGCTTGAAAGTTAAAGGATGGAAAAAGATATTTCATGCAAAGAATAACCAAATGAGTGGGTGTAGCAGTAGTTATTTGGACAAAATAAACTTGAAGTTGAAAATTGTGACAAGAACAAAAAGAGCTCTTATGTAATCATAAAGGGGTCAATTTGCCTGGATGATATAACAATTTTACAATATATTTCCCAAAATCTCAGCACCTTTACAATGAGGTAAACATTGACAGAACTGAAGAAAGACATAGATAGCAACACAATAAAAGTAGGATATTTCAATGCCCCATTCTCCAGGATAGATCATGTATTAGATCACTAAACAAGTCTTAACAAGTTTTAAAAGGATGAAATCATACTATTTCCTGACCACAATGGAATGAAATCAATAGTGGGAGGAAACTTGAAAAAATTCACAATATGTGGAAATTAAACAGCAAATTTTTGAACAACCAGTGGGTCAGACAATAAGTAAATAATGAGGTTAGAAAATATATTTTTAAAATCAAAAAGAAAACATAACATACAAAAATTGAGAGGATGCAGCAAACACAGTACTAAGAGGGAATCCTATAACAATAAATACCTAAATTAAAAATAAGAAATATCTTAAATTAAAAATCTAATTTTATAACTTAAGGAATTATATAAAAAGGGACAAACTAAGCCCAAAGAAGATGGAAGAATAATGATTAGAGCATAAATAAATGAGTGATAGAATAGGGACAATAAACAACAACAATGAGTTGATTTTACAAAAAGATCAACAGAATTGACAATCCATTCACTACACTAAGAAAAATAAACAAAATTAGAAATAAAAGGAGTGGCATTAAGACTTGTACCACAAAAATAAAAAGTGTTATAAGAGACTACTATGAACAATTACATGCTAACATGTAATTTCTTATAGGAAATTGACGGATTACTAGAAATATAAAACCTGTCAAGACTGAATTATGAATAGCTGAACAAGTCAATAACAACTGAGAGGTTGAATTAGTATTATAATGTACACACACACACACACACACACAAATGCACACACGTGCTTTACTTGAGAATTTTATCAAACATTTAAGAAATCAACATCAATTCTTCTCAAATTCTTCCAAGAAAAGTAAGAGATGGAAATGCTTCCATCCTCATTTTAGGAGTCAGCAAAAAGTTCAGGAAAACAAAAATTTCCCCCTTATCAAAACAATGAAAAAATATTCCAAATGGATTGTAGATTAATATGAACAATAAAATAAAACACAGGAAATTATGCTCATGACATAAAGAAGGAAAAATTGATAAATTGAACTTAACTAAAATTAAGAATTTTTATTCACTGAAAGACACAATTAAAAGAATAGAAAGAGGCCATAGAGTAGACTACAAAATAAAGTTTGTGTCCAGAATATTTTTAGTTTTTAAAGATCTAAGAAAAAATAACAGCAAAAGAAAGGAAGCTCCCTAGAAGAAATAAAGGGAAAATTTAAAAAAATATATAGAAAATAGGTAGGAAATCTAACAGCTAATAAATAAAACAAGATAGAAAAATGTTCAATAATCACATGGAAAGGTGCTACAACTCATTTTTATTTTTATTTATTTAAATAAAGTGCTGGGGGTACAACCCAAGTCCTTACTATGTTTAGCATGTTATATGCTACTGAGCTACATTATCAGCTCTCGATCTCACTTCAAATTCAGGAAACACGAAATAAATTCAAGAGAAAAATAAAAAACACACCTAGTAAAATGACTAACATGAAAATAATCTGGCAAATATAGAGATGATAGAGAGCATCCAGAACCAGGTAAAAACAACTTGGAAAATTTGTTGTCCTCATTTACTAAAGATAAATATGTATTCTGTGATACACTAACCCAAAATCTTAGTTAAACACTTAGGAGAGATATATGTAGATGGACATCAAAAATGTACAAATATTTAAGAATAGCATTGTTTCGAGTAGGCATAATCAAACACAAGGCAAGCTCCTCAACTATAGAATAAATAACTCACAGTATATTCATAAAATAATTTTCAATGGAGTTAAATAAATGACAACTACATAACAATACAGATGACTTCATAAACAATGATGAGTGATAAATACAAAGAACACACAAACACAGACAAAATATTTTGTGCAGTTCTCCTTAGAGAATTGCAGGAAATATACAATTAACCACAATTTGTTAAATGTGTGCTTACATTTGGGGGACAATAAGATAAAGTGATTTGGAATGGGTATGTGAGGGGCTTTAAGGAAAGGAGATGACTGATTTTCACTTTCAGAAAATTTAATAGAATTGTTCTGTTTCTGTCTGGCTATATTTGTGTATGTCTTATAGGTGAAAAATAGTAAAACATTTCCTAAATGTTAATTACCATTGAAAATATGGCAAATATAATCCTTACAATATGTTGGAAATTATAGCTATATGAATGTTGAATAATGAAGAATAAAAAGAAAGTAATGTACATGGTCTTCGTGTTCTATTTTTTTACTTCCTTTTTATTGATTTATTGTTGTTTTTTTGTTGTTTGTTTTTGAGATTGGGTCTCATTAATGCCTGGGCTTGTCTAGGCGGTAACTCCTAGGCTCAAGTGATTCCTCCACCACAGCCTCCCAAATACCTAGCCCACCATCCTGCCTTGGCTTCATGACATTAGAGTTAAAAGAAACGTATAAACAGAAGTAGAGAAAATTGATAGAGAGAAATTTGATTATGAGAAGTAAAATGATAGTGCAAAAGAGTATGACTATTCAGATTGAACAAAAGGATATTATAAACTAACCTTTGCCAAGGAATCTCCAGTAGTTTGTGGTTGATCCTCTCTGTCCCTAGAATCAGGTAAACTGGGGCTGAAGGCCATGAGGTCAGTCTTGGGCAGGCCTTCGCCAGAGCACACCCTATGCCTCCTCTGCTGCGAGTAAGACCAGCTCCCCACCGCGCTGGAGCACACCAGTGTGGGCTTCCCAGGTCTACAGGAGCCCTCCGTGGGCACCGCTGAACACCTAAACGCCGTGTACAGCAACAGCGTGAGCACCAACAGGCTGGAAATTGCACAGATGGCAATGATCAGGTACACGTTGACATCCACTAGCGCCACGTCGTGGCCAGCAGTGCCCGCCAGTGCCCTGGAGGAGGTCTTTGGCACCTGGCCGCTCTCCACCAGAGACACCAGAACTGTGGCGGTGGCGGTCAGCGCCGGTTCACCGTGGTCTTTCACCAGCACCAGCAGGCGCTGGCGTGGCGCGTCTGCTTCATCCAGGGCGCGGGTTGTACTGATCTCGCCCGTATACAGACCCACACGGAACGGGCTGCGCGAGCCACCGGATAACTGTAGCAGCTCATAAGATAGCCAGGCGTTGTAGCCAGAGTCAGCATCCACTGCACGCACTTTCGTTACCACGTGGCCGGCACCCACTGACCACTGCACCAGTTCATTCAAAGCTCCCCCTGTGTCACCTGTCCTAGGTGCCAGCAGTGTTGGCATGTTGTCGTTCTCATCCAGCACAAACACTTGCAGCGTCACGTTGCTGCCCAGGGGCGGCACACCAGAGTCGCGGGCACTCACCTGAAACTGAAGCAGCTCAATCTCTTCGTGGTCCAGAGGCTGCAGAGCATACACTTTGCCGCTCTCCGCGTGCACTGACACGAAGCTCGACAAAGCACGCTCACCCACCAGCCGCTCCACCAGAGAGTAGGACACCAGAGCATTCTCCTGCGCATCTGCGTCATGCGCAGACACCGTGAAGATGTGACAGCCTGGCGGGTTGTTCTCCTTCACGAACACTGTGTACTCGGGCTGCGCGAACAATGGCGCATTGTCATTTACGTCAGTCACCTCCACGGACACACTGGCTGTGGCCCACAGCGAAGGGGAGCCCCCGTCCCTGGCGGTCACCACCAGCTTATAGTCAGATATGGTCTCGCGGTCCAGGGCGCTGTCCAGCACCAAAGAATAGTAATTCTTGAAAGTGGACACTAGCTTGAAGGGAACATGTGGCGTCAGGTGACAAGTCACCTGTCCGTTGGCACCTGAGTCGCGATCTGACACGCTGATCAGTGCGACAACGGTGCCCAGTGGAGTGTTCTCTCTGATTGGAAGTGATAGGGACTTGAATTCCAAAGTTGGGACATTGTCATTGGTATCTTCTACTTCTACAATAACTCTACAGTGGCCAGAGAGTGGAAGCTGTCCTTTGTCAAAGCCCTCTACAAGAATTTCATAGGATTTGCATTCTTCGAAATCAATATATCCTTTTACGAAAATTTGTCCTGTAACTGGGTCTATGTGGAACTTGGATTTCACATTTGGTGAAATATCAGTAGAAAATGAGTAAATAATATCTCCATTCGAGCCTTCATCTAAATCTGAAGCATTAACTTTGATTACCAAGGTTCCATTTGGAACATTTTCTGGTAATTTCACCGTATAGAGTGTTCTGTCAAAAACTGGAGCATTGTCATTAGCATCCAGTACTGTAATGAGTAACTGGACTGTGCCTGTCAGCTCGGGTTTGCCCCCATCAGTGACAGTGAGTACTAAAAAAATCTCCGGAGTTTCTTCTCGGTCTAAAGATTTCCGTAATAGAAGCCCAAGACCTTTTACCCGTGGGTCATCGGATGGTTTTTCCAAAGAAAAATACTCATTGGGGCTCAGCGAGTAAGTGAGCAGAGCGTTGACTCCGATATCTGCATCAGAGGCGCCCTCTAGTGGTAGCCGAGTATCAAGTGGCTTGGATTCTGCAATGAACAAATTCTTTTGTGTCGCCAGGAACACAGGCGGGTTATCATTAATGTCCTTCACCTCCACTTCCACATGAAAAACCTGCAGCGGTCTGTCCACGATCACCTCCAGGTGGATGCTACACTCCGCGCTCCGCCCGCACAGCTCCTCCCGGTCGATCCGAGAATTCACAAACAAAATGCCATTCTGCAGATTTACCTCCAGAAGGTCCCCGCGGTCCTTGGACGCCACCCGGAACAGACGCGGCACCAGCTCCGCCAGCTCCAGCCCCAGATCCTGAGCGATGCGGCCCACGAAGGTGCCGTGTTTGACCTCTTCGGGAATGGAGTAGTGGAGTTGGCCACTCCCTGCCTCCCAGATTGCGAGGAGCAGAAAGGAAAGCAGCAGGCGCTGGGATTCCGGGCCACTTCCCCAGGAAAATTCCATGTCAAGCGTACAGAGCTTTATTATGATTAGGAATCTTGTCTCAAAGTTAGGAAAAATCTGTTTGGTCATTTCCATGCAGCAGCATCCTCCATTTTTCAAACGCCGGATTGTGGATGCAGCTTCTTTCCAGTAAGAAGAAATATTTTCCCTTTTATTCTTATTCCTGTCAGGTGGATTTTATGGTAAAGAGCGACATCATGTGGCTTCAAACCGTAAGTACCGATTCCGGAAACCCATACTACTATCATTGCCAGGTCTTATTTTATTTAGGGGCTTCTCCGAACACATTTCCAATTTTGGGATAACAAGAATACTGAGGTACACATTCTGCACCAAAGAAATTTGATTGTGATTCTTAGTTTTACCACAGAAGTAACTTCTACTACAGTGGAAATCCTTTTTTATACAGATCTTAAGTATTTACAAAGAACCAACTGTAGTTAATGAAAACTTTGAAAATATACAATTGTGAAGTGTTGATAAGGAAAATTCATGATAGTTTCCTTGTATTATTTGGCATTCTAGAGGTTATTATTAATTATGACACCCTGCCTATCCTTGTACTTGCATTACTGGTGTTGAAGCAAAGTGAATGGTACCTGGGGAAATTGGTTCCAAGGACAAAGCCATTGAAAGGTAAATTTGCAAATATTTTTAAGAAGCATTCAAAGACTGTCATAATTTCATTGAATATCTTCCTTGAGTCACTTAAGGGCCAAATGCTCAAGGGGGCTTTAACAAGGAAGTAGAAACTTCTAGTTAAAACACAAATATGAAAAATTGTGCTATATATGTGTAATATGAGTTGGAATGCATTCTGCTGTCATATATAACAAATTCGATTAAATTTTTTTAAAAAAGAAACTTCTAGTAAATAGCTTGTGTGATGAAGTATTCCAGATAATGTTATTGACTGTAACTTATTTACCTCCTATAAGCAAGTAGAGTATTCTAATTTTTACTCTAATGGTTTATAAATACCTGCCTGATCTCCAATGTCTTAGATGACTACTTAGACCTCTACTTTTCCCAGTGTCTAAGATTCCTACTTTCTCCTATTGTACTCATATATTTTAGTCAAACAGGATAATTGGCTACATTCAATTTTTTTTCTTAAAATTCTCCTTTAGGGTTGTGGCTCAGCGGTAGAGCTCTCATCTAGCACGTGTGAGGAACTGGGTTCGATTCTCAGCACCACATAAAAATAAATAAAGCAATTGTATCCAACTACAGCTAAAAAAATTAAAATTAAAATTAAAAATAGATACTTAACATTTACTAGACATTTATGATAATAGAAATGGTTTGGTTTTAATTGCCTAAAAAAATACATTAATATAAGGTGATCATAAGATTAATCTGGAAATATGATGTCTTAAGCACTCTGAAAACTTTCTAAATAATACAAAAATATTTTCCCTACGAAATTGCCCTAATTAAGATATATTTCAATTTCCATGTGGAAAACGTGGCTTTTAGCTTGATTTTCATGCCAATTTTTTACAGTCATCATCTCTGAATCATCCCCAGTCTTAATGAGCAATTAAATCTTCCCAATACAGTATTATACATTTTTGTAAATAAACAATACAGAAGGAGGTAGTGATAATAGCAATTGTCAAACTTTTTGCTGCTTAAATACTTAAATTCATTTCCTTTGTGTTTGCCTAAACAAAAAATGCCATCTAGTGAAAATAGTTTTGGGTTCTCCTCTATGAAGAGCCACACCCACAAAAAACAACTTTTGGAATCATAACAGAAATCAGAGTACTTTCTCTGTTTGGGGACCCAACTTTTGGGTTTTACAAAATGATCATAGATCAAGCACACTGGGAGAAATTGAAAATAATTCAATTCTCAGTCATTTTATTTAAAAAATATTTAAATGTATAGATGAGGAATGCAACAGAATAAAAATATTTATTTGAAATAAATACCTATCCACTGTTCACTTAGTATAGCATCAATACATCTCTAAGAAGAAAAAAAAAAACTAAAAAATTTTCAAAGAGTCTTGTTAGTCAAGAATTTCAAGAGGAAGAAAGCTCAATTTGAAGTCCGAAGTCTCATATCCATCAAGGCAAGAACTTTGGATGATCCTATTATTTACAACAGGATGATAATAGAACTAACAAAATAAATATTAAATCAAGGCTGGATTAATACTTGATGAACAAGTGGCAGCAAAGGATATGCTTGAAAATAAAATGCAAGTTGGAAAAGAGAGGAGTGAGGGACATAATTATTTTACATTTTGGACTCTCTACAATATCTTTGAGTGACAATTGGTTTCAATTTGTTACTAATTGTACACAAGGGGGCTCTACACTACTACAATCCCAGACCTTTAATTTTTTTATTTTGTGACATGATCTCACTTAAATTGTTGAGGATGGCTTTGAACTTGTGAACTCCTGCCTCTGCCTCCAGAGTCACCAGAATTACAGGAATGCATCACCATGCCCAACTTAAAAATTCTTTTTAAAATAACATTTAAATATGCCACAGAAGAATTAAAATTTCACTTCATATCGATATTTTCATTATTGCTAATAAAAATAATGAGAAAAATGAAGATAACCAAACATAGCGGTGCATGCCTCTAATCCTAGAGATTTGGGAGGCTGGAACAGAAGGGCCGAGAGTTGTAGGCCAGCCTGCATGATGCAATGAAAAGAGGTAAAAGATAGTTATTCTGCAGGAAGCACTTGGCCACAAGTTAGAGTAAATTCTGTAAATAATGAAATTCGTCCAAGAAAAAAAATTTATTTGTACCCAGACATTTAGCAATAAAATAATCCTGCTACTGCACTTATCAACAAAACAAAATAACAATATAAATGTTAATCTCACTGTTCATTTCTTCATTCAAAATTTAGTCACGAAGAATCTGACCATTTTAATCACAAAATCAGCAACTGAAAAATGCTAATTAGTAGAATAGAGTGTAGTGTAATTAACCTTAAACATGTTTTCAAGGGGGTGAAAACACAGGAATTTTTTTTTTAAAAAAAGAGAACGCTTTGGAAAGAATGATAAATTACTCACTTTGGCAGAGAGATCCATGTCCATAGCCAGTTGCTCCTCTCTATCCTGGTTAACTGGACATGGTGGAAGACTGGGGCTAAAAGCCATGAGGTCGGTCTTGGGTGGGCCCTCTCCAGAGCACATCTTCTGTCGCCTCTGTTGTGAGTACGACCAACTCCCCACCGCGCTGGAGCACACCAGCGTGGGCTTTCCAGGACCACAAGTGTCCTTGTTGGGTTCCGCAGAGCACCGAAACACTGTGTACAGCAGCAGGGTGAGCACCAACAGGCTGGATACCGCGCAGATGGCGATGATCAGGTACACGTTCACATCCACTAGCGCCGCCTCGCGGCCCGCGGCGCCAGTCAAGGCCCTTGAGGCCTTTGGCGCCTGGCTGCTTTCCACTAGAGACAGCAACACTGTGGTTGTGGCAGTCAGTGCCGGCTCCCCGTGGTCTTTGACCAGCACCAGCAGACGGTAGTGCTGCGCATCCGATTCATCCAGGGCTTGTGTGGTGCTGATCTCGCCTGTATACAGTCCCACACGGAATGGGCTTCGTGCACTACCTGCCACCAGTTGCAGCTCGTAGGACAGCCACGCATTGTAGCCAGAGTCAGCGTCCACCGCGCGTATCTTAGTTACAATGTGGCCAGCGCCCAGTGACCTAGACATCAGCTCCCTCACTGTATCCGCTGCGCCACCCACCTGAGGGGCAAGCAGCACTGGCGCATTGTCGTTCTCATCCAGTATGAATACTTGCAGCGTCACGTTACTGCCCAGGGGCGGTACGCCAGCGTCGCGGGCACTCACCTGAAACTGAAGTAGCTCAAGCTCTTCATGGTCCAGAGGCTGCAGAGCATACACTTTGCCGCTCTCCGCGTGCACTGACACGAAGCTCGACAGTGCACGCTCACCCACCCGCCGCTCCACCAGAGAGTAGGACACCAGAGCATTCTCCTGCGCATCTGCGTCATGCGCAGACACCGTGAAGATGTGACAGCCTGGCGGGTTGTTCTCCTTCACGAACACTGTGTACTCGGGTTGTGCAAAAGCTGGTGCATTGTCGTTCACGTCAGCCACCTCCACCGACACGCTGGCTGTGGCCCACAGCGAAGGGGAGCCCCCGTCCCTGGCGGTCACCACCAGCTTATAGTCAGATATGGTCTCGCGGTCCAGGGCACTGTCCAGCACCAAAGAATAGTAATTCTTGAAAGTGGACACTAGCTTGAAGGGAACATGTGGCGTCAGGTGACAAGTCACCTGTCCGTTGGCACCTGAGTCACGATCTGACACGCTGATCAGGGCTATGGCCATGCCAAGTGGAGCATCTTCTAAAACAGGTAACGATAATGATTTGATAACCAACTCAGGAACATTATCATTGGTATCCACAATTTCCACTAGAAGGGTGCAGTGATCTGTCATTGGAGGATTTCCTTTGTCTGTCGCCTCTATTTGGATTTCATATGACCTAGTTTCTTCGTAATCTATGTTTCCTTTTACACTGATGTGTCCACTAACCTGATCTAAGTGAAATTTCGACAGAATCTCTGCTGATACATCTGTATTGAAAGAATATTCAATGTCCTTATTTACTCCTTCATCCAAATCAGAGGCGTTAACGATCACTACTAAGGTACCATATGGAGCATTTTCAAATAATCTGACTTTGTAAACCGACCTCTCAAATGCTGGGGCGTTGTCATTTACATCCAAGACTGTGATCTTCACTTGAGTGGTGCCAGTGAGTTCTGGTTTCCCGGCATCAACCGCCGATATTAGTAAATGATGATTAGGAGTGTCCTCTCGATTTAAAAGTTTTTTCAATACCAGTCCAAGGGATTTAATTTCCTCATCATTTCTTTTAACGTCCAAAGCAAAATATTCACTGGAATCAAGACTGTAAGTCAACAACGAATTAGTTCCAATATCTGCATCGGATGCGCCCTCTAGCGAAAACCGAGAGCCAAGCTGTCGGGATTCGTAAATAAATAGATTTTTTACTGCCATGGGAAATACTGGCGGGTTGTCGTTAATATCTTTCACTTCCACCTCCACATGGAAAACCTGCAGCGGCCTGTCCACGATCACCTCCAGGTGGATGCTACACTCCGCACTCCGCCCGCACAGCTCCTCCCGGTCGATCCGAGAATTCACAAACAAAATGCCATTCTGCAGATTTACCTCCAGAAGGTCCCCGCGGTCCTTGGACGATAC